CAAACTCTCATGCCTGCAAGCAACAGGTTCGTGTCCTGGTCGCGTTTTAACATGGCACTGTAGTGCCAAGGTCCCGAAATTCACGTACAGAATTACGTACAGATAGCTTTCCAGTTACAAGAAGTTAGATCAAGTCGCGAGTTCTGGTGTAAAGTCACACCCCAGCTGCGTGCCAGGTGCGGGGATGTTCCATGTGGAAGGGGTCCGTTACCGGATTTGGAAGTTCGTCTGAAGATGTTGCGTTTCTTTGATTTGCTCGAGGTATAATGTGAGTCCCCCATGTAAAATGACAGTCAGAGAATGTGCCTAGGTCGCGCAGAGTTGGTTTTCATAATCCAATACAGTACAGATGTGCCAGCCTTTTCGCAGCATAGCCCATATTGCGCAACCATGCAACCTCGCGAAGCGCACTGACAACATGGCTTGTTATTGTTCGTGCTCATAGCAACAGGGCATCAAAACGTGACCATCTGCGGGAATGAGCATAAGAGTTAGATGATGTTTGACGATTTCATGACCCGACAGCTCCTAGAAATTTTTAGGAGCAGCAGCAGGCACCATGCGGCTCAAAGATAATAATTTCAGCGTCTGTCCATGGCTTGTTGCCTGGATTTTATATGTGCAAGGCAAACAAAAATGAGACTGGTAGTTGATGCTTCCTTGTTCGCCTGGGACTGATGCACGGCCATGGAACAACCAGCATCGCAAAAAGCCTGGATCTCAGCTTGTACGTCCAAACGCACCCGTGCCGCTCTTTGATGCAACCAATACCAACGATATATAGTGATGTAAAGGTCGTCCTGCTGCTGCCACCCGGACTTCCCAACTATACATGGAGGCGTGTGTTGCATTGGAGAAAACGCATGATCTTCTCAAGTTGATAGAAGATTTATCCTTCACCTGTGGATCCTGTTGGCCTGTTCTTTGCAAGGCTGCGCGGAGTCGAGACGCAGAGGGCCTCTGACACGGTCTCGAACCAACTGCCACAGGCAAGCATCCAGAGCTTGAAAAAAAACGTTAAAAGCGGTTGACTCAATCTTTAAGCAGTTTGTAAGACTGTGCGAGAAAGATGCCCAGGAAATGCCTGAACATATTCATATTCGGTGTTTCCGTATCTGAAACAGCCCTAATCCTGTATTTTCCTCATGGTTGCACCGCCCCCTCTGCTAGTAGATGCAGCTAGCCTGGACTCTAGCATCACTGGGGAGCTTCAGAGGAAACCGTATTTCGCTCCTTGTCATCTGCTATGGCCATGCCAGATGCAAGGCCAAGAGGGCTTTCCAACAGCGTTCATAGATTCGCACAGGGACGGCCTGTTTGCCCCCCTCCCTGTATGTGACGGAGTCCAAGGTCAGTATTGTTGTGGGCAGGCTAGGGTGGTCTCACTTGCAGGTGGTCCCTCGGCAACGCAAGGCAATGGACGCTAGTACTTGCTCTACACATCTCTATGTTCTCAAGCTAAACCAATGGTGGCATGTTTTGCGCGATGGTTTGCGAGCTTCTGCCTCCAATCTTGGACATCCAAGACTTCTGAGGCTCCCAGCTGCCGTCTCCCAATTCTCCCCGATTGATGTTCCTGGCGGCAAGATTGCGAAATCTCGAAATCAGGGATCCCTGCAAATACTCTGCGAGTCAACCTTCAAAGGCTTCGCTGGGTTGGCCGCAAGGCCACAAACGAGAATTGTTTGGACTAGCCGGCTCTCAAGATTGCTTGATTATGCTTTATTTGCAAGTGCAGCCTATACGTTTGAACGTCACCTCCACCCGGTGTTTCCTTCCTTTTCTCCGGAGCCAGCTTGAAACCTGCCCAAAACTTGGAACACCTGTGTCATCAGGTGTAGCAGAATACCACATCCCATGCCAGTCAAGCACATCTGTTGTCGGCTGTCCGCAGTTTTCAGCTTTGAAGAGGCTTGCCTTGAACGGCTAGCTGGCTACTGCAGTGCTCCTTATCCTTTTGACATCTTCAGCTCGCGAAATCTCGCGAATTGCGCCAGCTAAGCTTCAAAGGTGCTGCTGTGCCAGGACTGGCCTTCCAGCGAGGACGGGACACGCGCAGTTCAGGTCAGTGTGACATGAGCTCAGCTGTCACAGAGCCTGCCAAGACTCCAAGAACTGACCGGTTTTTGTTGCTGACTTTTTAAGGCGCGGGCAGAATGCGATTGAGATTCAGAATGCCCTGCACATCATTCTCAGGCTTGGGACTTTCTTGCCCCCCCTCTAGCCCACTCTTGCAGTGATGAGCGCAGTCCGTAATTGTAAGAAGCTAGATGGCTATGCTAGAGTGCCATTCGCGATTGTTGCAGCTTGCTGACATCAGGAGATTAGAGGATGCGGCGTGGCCCTTGCAGACTCCGAGTCCATACGGTAGGAATTCTCTGTGCCTGAGGCGACTCTCGATGGATCAGGGCCCCAACCAAGTTCCAGGCTGCTGAGGGCGGCTGTGTCACTAAAAGCAGCCGAACAGCAGATAGTGACGGCCAAACCTGCACCTACCTGATTCCTGCGTGGCATTGCGTGGCGCTGCATGCTGACTGACGTGGTTTGTGAAGCACCGACCGGCCAGTGGACTCCTGGGCCTGGCAGTGCAACTAACCCCGGCGGTTGCTTCAGCGCTGTGCCAGCAGCGCGGGGCGCAGCTAAAGGACTGCTGGCACTGCTGACTCATGCTACAGTGAAGGGCGTGGTCTTCGGCTATCAAGGCCTTGTGTCGCAGCTGTCCGAGCAGATTGAGAGCTTCCTTAGTGCCTGGCCAAGCTACATGCACTGTGTGACATTGTGTGACCGCGTGGAGTGTGAGTGTTGGCATGCTTATTTCTGGCCATGTCTGCGGATGAAAGGCAGGGCACAAGCCTCCGCTTCTTCTGCTTTCAGGATTGCCAGAGGTGCAAAAGAGCTCGCTGATGGTGTTTTGAAGCTTTGCCACGGGAAAGAAGCATTCATTATCGCTAGCTATTCAGAGCGCCTATGCTACACTATCCTTCTCGACGTGCAGGCGTTGCATGCTGCCCTCCCAAAGGCAGTGAGCTCAGGGATGCGCTATCATGCGAGTTACAAGGTAGAAGCACCTGGGCAGTTTGTCTTGTCAGGGAGGTGGATGTGGCTAGTATACACCGCGCCTGGTTGAGGTGAGAGACCTGCTGCAGATCAAGCCGCCAGGCTGGAGGGACCTGAAGCTGGTGGCGTTTGAGCTTTTCTGTGAAAGGCTGGAATGCAGAGGCCAGAGATCCTCTGGTTCCTGGAGAAGGCACACCGGGCAGTCTTTCAAGCCTTGTTTGCATCTATCATCTATCTCTGCCAGTGCCGGCGGTGTCGATGGTGCCGATGGGCGACTACAGCTTGTGGGTTTGGCTGAAAAGCCTGGATGGAGGACCTCACAAGCTGCGAAGGGCTTTGCCCTGTCCGATGCGCTATTTGATTTATTCTCCCCCCCCTTCAAGCAGGAGTCGGGGAGATGCTGATCTACTGCGAACGGTTGAACGAGCTGTTTCAGGATGGCCGCTGCATTAATTTTGGTTTCGATGCTTGGGTGATGAACATCCTGGACAGAATTCATGATTCGCACAAGTGGATTCCAGCTTTGAGTCATTAAGTCTGGTGGACAGAAGACTGATCTGATTCTGAGTACGAAGCATAAACCTTCAGGACAGGACGAGCACCAATCACGAGATTGACGCACTAATGCAAGCACACTGAAGTCAGGTGTTGTTGTGTCTTGACTGTAGGACATTAGCCAGCTATCGGCTGTGTCTGAAACTCAAAAATGGATCATTTACGGCAGATCATGACAGTTCTGGACAGTATCATGCAATTCCAGCACATGAAAACAAGCGCAACAGTGTGTGTTGGCCCCAAGGCAGTCTGGGCCCTTCGGTGAGGTGCCAGACCCTCGCTTCCTGCAGGACCCTGGTTGGACAGGGAGGGGATCAAACAACACACATCAAGATGCGCATCTCCCCTGCCATGTAAATATGTTACATTAAGTTCTTGGAAAATAACGTTATCTCACTGGGGTCAATCACCGAGAAAAAGAAGATTACTCAATTGGCTAGCAAGGAACTCCGGGTTCGAGAAGATCACCGCGAGATCTTCAGGCATTTTTGGGACAAATTTTGTAAACGCCAAGTATCGAGTGCTTATTCAACAGCCTGCTGCGGTGGCTTCAGTGATGTCCAGGCGATGGTTTCGTGAGCATGGTGTGAAGCAAAGGGTGGGACAACAAATCTCCGCTTAAAGAGAAGCCCACGCTCGAAGCAAAAGTCCCGAAGATGCTGCACTGTCAGATGCTTGCGAATCTTGAGAGATCAGGCATGAACATTTAGTATGCATTTTTGATGGGTCCACCATCTAAAAGGAAGAGGGATGTGGGGCACCCCCGAAGCAGACCCCGAAGCAGATCCCGAAGCAGACCCCTGAAACATACCCGAAGCATACCCT